ATGCAATGTAATGAACATATTGCCCTTCGACATCTGTAGGGTATCAACGCATTCTCAATTTTCGATTATCGAGAAGAATTTCAAGCATCTTCGGTTATAATCTCTGCTCTATGAGCATCTGGCACGTTCAGCGTCATCTAGCAGCTACTTTAAATTCAGCAAAACACCGAGAAAGACTTGCCAGAAATCTCTTGAAAATAATACCAAGTTTGAAAGATAATTTCCCCCCTCGAGTAGTTAACGGACAATATTCGAATCGTCCGATTTTTTCTGAAGGCGCCGCAACATTACATTTGGACAAGCATTGTTTGACAATTGATGTTTTTTAAAAATGATATGAATATTGAATGAAAGGCGACATCTGTACGCCAGTCCTGGGAATTACGTATTTCCAAAAAAAAACAAAAAAAAGATGGAATTGATTCCCTTAAGAAATAGTATTCGAACTAACTTTGGAATACCTCTAGAATTGCAGCAAGTATAACATACATAACTTACTGTATATAAATTTTCATTACAATGTTGCAGTCATGTATCTGTGCATATAAATATGTGTGTGTGTATGGAGAAACGAAACTTTTAAACAAAACTTTATTGTTAATAACTAACGAAAATAAAGGAAAAAATGTGCATTTGAAACAAGTTTAAAACAAGCCGCTGCTGTCGCAGTTCGCTAACGCCACTACTGCGGCTGCCGCAGTTACTGCATAAGAAAAATAATAATAATAATAATAATAATAATAAAAAACTGAACCAAACCAAACCACAAAAACATATTGCGATTGCAACGTGTTTGCCCGAGTAGTAATGGCAAAATCTATAAAAGTATAGGTACATTGATTGTGTTTGTGTTTGTGTTTGTGTTTGTGTTTACGTGTATAAATATATATGCATGTGAATATCGAAGAAACTGTACATATGTATTATTATTATTAGTATTATTGAAAGTATATATAGATGCATTTATATGTAAGCGCACACGAGCCATAAACAGTGTGTACTCTCTATGAATTAATAACAGAAAATTAAGTAAACACACAACTGCCGAACCGATAGTACAACAATATCAATAACAACAACAACAAACATTCCCAATAAAACGAAACGTAATGAAACAATAATTGTTTGTTACTAACTTAACTAAAAGGCCAATAACTAAGAGATAACTTTTTATATACAATATAATATAATATAATATATAACTGTGTAAGCATATATATGTGTGTGTGTGTGTGTGTTTGTGTGTATGTGTGTATATGTATATGATCACATATTTAACATGTCGGGTGCATAAAGTGACGGCGAAAAGAAGCACAAAACTAATAATAATAATAATAATAACGGGGGGACGGACATTCATTATAACCGGCAGTGATATTACAACATCTGATTATTATTTGATTGCTGTCGCTATATGCAGAGAATCCAAGAGCCAAGAGAAAAACTGATGTGTGATGTCTCGCAAAAGAAGAGAAAGAAGATGATGTTAAAAATTTAGCGAAAAAAAGCAAAAAAAAATTTGGTGTAAAAAATTTTGTTAATTATTTTATATGCAGACAGAAGACATTCATGCACGCTTGTCATTCAGTGCGAAATCTATTATTAAATAATCATGACTCGGAAGGAATACCAAACTCATTTAGCCACATACATACATACATTTAGTTTAAACCAATACATATGCAATAGTCGAATGAAAAAAAAGCATAAATTAAACTCTATCTGTATTATTTAGTAATACATACAGACAACTTTATCAATTGATAGCAGTTTGCTTTTGTTGCTTTGTCCCAGAATATTCATGTCGTGTATGCCTGTCTATCGATGCCGTAATGAAATAAATTACGGTTGCATGATGATGTGGTTTTCTTTTTCTTTTTCTCATTTTCATTTTATATTTTCGCATCCATCACCAACTACGAGTATATTAGTTTGATCAATTCGTGTGGAAGATCAATGTCTTCAACTTGAAAGACCAATGATAGGTCCTGGCCATTCAGTCCTTTGGATATTCCCGTGTGTTTGATTTATAAGCCGACTAATGTCGGGCTACTGAAAGTGATCGTAGCTTCAACCGAAGAGAACAAATTTCTTCCATAACATGTTAACCATAGCCAAAACTATTTGGCTGATAACTTAAAATACAATAACAAAAGTATAAGATGATAATCTACTTCTACTATTCACACACATACATATTTACATTTTAGTTTGCCATATTTTGTTGATAGAGATCAACATTAATACCAAATTTGGAATTTCTTTTCAACTACATATCAAAGTTTCCCTTCGGGATTACTCCTATAGTGAGCCGTTTAAGTTACATTGAAAAATCCATGTATGAGTATGGCTTTGAATGAAGAAACTTTTTTTAGAAATTGGGTATTAAAGGATTTTCAAATTTTTCTTTCTAAATACTTCGTTGCTTGATAATTACCACTCTCAGTAGACTTTCATTAGGCAACAGTCGCTTGATCGAAATATGTGGCGCTACCTTGAATAGTATAATAATTTATTTCGGATATTTTGCAATGACGGAACGATGGAAAGTTCTATTAAGCCTTTGCGCTTCTATCTCATTCCAATGTCGACATTTCATTTCTTAGACCATTTTAAACCATCATCGATCTGGAGTCGACATTATATTATTTTGTAGTTTTAATTAAAAAGTTAGTAGTAGGAGTGCAGCCGTACTTTCTGCAGAGTTCATTATATATGTATTCGCGGATAACAGTAGTCAAATTGGAAGCTGTACTTGGGAAGGGAAAATAGCTTTTGGCAGAAAAAAACATACAGTGATCCTTGACGCAAGGTATAATAAACTGAAAATCAATTGAGACTTGAATTACGTGTGCACTTTGCCGAAGATATTTCCCAGCTATCGTATCCTCTTTCGCATATAAATTTAAGGCAAGAACACACAAATTTTCGCTGACAAGACTTATAGCCTGAGGCCTGGCATGCCTGAAGCATAACATTCTTTGATCTATTCCTTGCCTAAGCATATATTGCTTTCGGAGTCATTTGAAAATACCACCTTAACGTTGTACTTATACGTTTGTTCGCAGAAGAATTCTTACAGCGTTTAAAGATAAAAGAATGAGAGTTTAGTCAATGCTGTGAACGTTCCAATAATTCGTAGCACAAGTTTCCTAACTCACGCTTTACTCCCGTGAAAAACTTGGAACTCCCTAGTCTCCCCTAGATCCTTTCTCACTCGGTTTCGCTTGGTCTTGGGGAGCAGAATGCGATAAATTAAATATAACAGACGTCTGGATATCGTGGAATAACCATTGTCCTACAATCCCGTCGATGTGAGTATGAAATAAATGGGCTGGAAGATTAGAGGCAGATAGGATAAAGGTGATGGGTGTAAAAGATTCGTTCACGGCCGCATTTAATTTTCCTACTTGTGGACAAACTGCACGAATCTCGTGCAAAATATCGCTTGCGACTATACTTATTTCCTTTCTTATAAAAATGAAAACTTTTCGCGGCCTATCCTAGATCATAGCCATTCCACATGAATGCTTAAGCGAAAACAGTTCCTTTTCATGCGATTTTCGTCTTCGCAAGTTGTAGACTAATAAAATGTTTTAAAACCATTTGAGAGGTGCCCGTTTTTCGGTCCTAAAGCATATAAATTTATTTATTTATATTTTTACAAATTTATATAAATATTTATATATACATATATATATATATATATATATATAATTTTATAGTTTACGGCTTGTGGTAAAATAAAAATGATTCAACACAAAAGCCACTTCTACTGCATACGTGTGTATATGGACGCGGTTGTAATAAATGAATAAAAAAAAATACTTACTTTCATCCATGACCTTGATGTTTTTAACAGTCTTTTTTTTCATTTTTTATTAAATTATTTTGGGTACGTAATGTTTGTGAATTGTTTAAACCAATTCATTGTACGCGTACATGTATGTGTGGACAGTTTCGTGAAAAAGATAAATATCTTTTGCTTAATAAATTTAAGCGTCTAAAAAATTTGTCAGTTTATTACATCTCGAAAAGCGTCCGGAAGTAAAGACATACCGACTAACGAATTCGCCCAAAGAGCAAAACCATATTTTACGAGATAGTCCAGCTAGTTGAAGAAAGAATCCGAGCTTTGGGAATTGCCAGTTTACAACTCGTAAGCGAACAGTTACCCAGTTAGCTAACTATCAGTGTCTTTTAGTTTCTCTTTTGGAAAAGTCTTCGTATTAAGGAACTTAACAGTCATTCATTCCATTCCACATTTTATTTATATGAATTTCGTAGATATGTTTTATTCACTCTCCCTCTTAGTAAACTGCGTACTCCAAGGCAACTTTATCATTGTTTTAATGGATTTTGATTTTTTATTTATTTATTTATCCGATTATATAACAATTTTGGTATTTCATTTCGACTTTTCAAAAAACTAGCGTGAATGGAGAGCAAGAAGAAGAAGAGTGATGTTATGAAAATGACTTGAGTCGGGCTATGCGATGCCCGATATGCGAAACAATTAATAGGAGGTAGTAGGAAGGTTTGAACGCAGCACAGGCTATTGCAAGAAGGATCAAATGTTTCAATATCTTGCACAACAGAAGACCTATGCGTAATAATTCCCGAATACATCAGAAATTAGAACGAAGGGGAAAATTGATTTATCTATTTCCATCTGTCCGCCCATTTTTTTTATATTTTATTTTAAAATCGACCAAAACATAAAAGCAAACGAGGACCCAGGGAAGTAACCCCGACATCTTAGAGCAAAATTAAATTAATTGCAGACATCTGCGCAGACATACGAAGACTGAGCTCAAATCAATTACACATTGGAGGAACATTTTCTTTTGTCTTGACAACTGTTACCGCTATTCACTATATCGCGCTTATAAAGACTTATTATACATATATATATATATATATATTGAAGAAATCCCTTGCTCATGCATAATTAATTTGAAATTAAGTACTGAGAGTAATTATTCATATATTTATTGCAGATTTGAAACCACATCGTAATCGACGGAAGCCCTTTACACGAAGGAGTGACATGTAAGTTACTGTTCTTTTGTACAAATTAAATTAATTAATAACTCTTTTAAATGAAATTAATTAGTGTTGAAAGAAAATTTAATTGATTAACATTCATTTCAAGTTTAAATAATTAATACAAAAAAAAAAAAAAGCCAAACACTTTTTGAAAATTATTTTTCTAAGAAAAAGTATTGTAAATGAAGTGAGATGAAAAAAATAGAACGCCCCGTATAAAAATAGGTATATATTTTGTGGATCCTGAGATAGGACTAAGTAGTTTAGGGACACATTGGATTTCCTTTTCTTTACCCAAATTCTATTATTAGACTCGAATACTCCTTTGGGTGATGAGAAAGCCCCAATGCTTTTTCGTCCCCTTCCAATCTTACAAAGCTTAACTAACCCTTCCCAAAAAAGAGGCCCAGTGTTTCTTCAGCTGTCATGCCTGTTGAGACTCTTGAAAACTTTTCATAGGTCGACAGCTTTGCAAAGTGACACCAATGCGATACTTGCGTCTCTTCGTCACTACACGTGAAAAAGAGATCTGCATATGATTCCCATATATTCATGCAAAAATACCGAAAAAACTTCATTACTAACCCAACATTAATTTTTGATTGATTTTTGCTCATCAGATTTCAAAATTGACATATGTATCTCCCACACGAACTACTTTTTTTTCACAATAACCAAAAAAAACGAAAAACAACTTCCATAAATCAATTGTCGATGTCAAATTTGACAAAAAAACATCTTGCACAAGCCTCTGAAGAGATGGATTCGGATTTTTTAAGAAAAAAAGAAAGAATTGCTTTTCTTATTTTTGTTAACGCATACGATTTGTTGTAACATTCATCATCTTTCGTCGTTCTAACTATTTCAAGTACAATCTACATAACTGAATTGTTATACCCATCACCGAAGAATGAAGAATATATTCACTTCGTCAAAACGTTTGTAACGTCTAGTGGGAAGCTTCAGATACCTCTTAAAGTATATCTGTTCTGGATCAGCATAGAATAGTGAATAGATTTAAACATATGCTGTCCGTCTGTATACTGCCTATTAATTGTTTAATTGGGGCAAAGCGGTCGAAGAAGACGCCTGCAGTACCACCTGAACTGAGAACACCTCTGTCCTTCAGAAGGAATAAAAAATTACTTCGTTGCTCTGCAACTGCAACTGAAAAATCTACAAGAACTTGAGCATATATTCTGTGAGCATTGCTGCTGTACCTGTACAAAAATGGAAATAATTGACCACACTATGCAATTTTGTAGCTTCTCATCAATCGTTAGAATGCACAGAAATAAGGCTCAAAAAGCCCGTATTAATTCCCCCTTTTATTCTCTCGCGCCCACGAATATCGGTAGGATATGCAGGCTCAGTTTTTTCCCTTCCTTTTTAGTCGGATAACGGTGACGAGTGTAGAAGATTCGGTCGCGACCTTGCTTGTTTGTTGTACACTCGGGAATAACAGAGCTATCGAAGTGATTTGAAGTTTATTCACTTACTTTGTGGTTCAGTTCTCCACTATTGAATATTTTCTAACGCAATCCTCTGATGTTATTAGCAGCATGGACAGACAGTTCGAGGGTTTACTAGATTTACAAGGAACTAAGTTTTCCTTTCTGCCATTGCTTACCATCAAACCATGATATTGTTGAAGAGATTTATCGCACCGTTGTTCCACATATTGCAGAGAAATTATGAGAGAATGTAAATCACACAATACGATTGACGTAATAACTTAAAATTTCGCCGACTGACTACTCGCATGAATGCCAAGAGATTCGCATAATACAATGAACAAAATAATTGTGATACGCAACTCAATGATGTGATGAACTCGACCTTCTTTCGAAACGATAAAAAATGGATCATCTACAGTGACATCATTCGAAAATGATTATAATCAGCAATGAGCCGGTAAAGAATACAATAACAACAAAATGTCATTCTGTCAGTTCAATGCATTTGCAGCAACTGCCCGAGAAGCATGTAAGCAGGCAGGAGATCCGTTCAAATATTTATTACACTTTAGCGAGCAATTGAAGCAGAAGAAGAATATCCCAAATTAATCAATCGCAAAAGAACTCTGTGCTATGGCTATGGCTATGCAAAAAACTCACACAATTGCAACTCGTTCGCATAAAGTTATCAGAGGTTAAATGGTGATAACTTAAGGATCAAATGTTTTGTATGCCTGTGTGATGTTTAATGAGATTGCCAAAAAGATTGAATTACGGGCTAAGGAAGATATATATGTTTGATTGAAAATTTAACCTTTTCATAAAGAGTTTTAAGAAGAAATCGGAATAACGATCCTGCCGGCTAAGCTGCCTCAGCTTTTTGTAGGGCTATGCAATTAATACTATTGTGTGTGTCCCTAATTCGAGCTGATTCAAGAGAAGTAAGAGAAAAAAAAAAAAATAAAAAATAAAAAAAAAAATCGGAAATTAATGATGCACACAGATGCTGAAGTCATCGGTAGTTTATTCATAAGCTTAACACACTGCTCTTGCAATTAAATAAGTTTAACTTACTTACCACTTCACCCACATTTGGGTTGTGTGTTGGTTGTGCTCTTTGTTTTGTTGTTGAGTTTTACACGAATTGTTGGATGGTTGTTGGTTGTTGGTCGGTAGTGTTTTTATATTTATTTATTTTTTTTTTTGCTTTTGCGGTTATTTTTTAATCCCAATTGATATCTGTTTACAATCGCTAATGGTACCTTGTATGCCAGTAGTTGTTTTTGTCGTTGTTGCTGAATTTATGGTGATTGTTTTGGTTTTCCTTCTTTTTTATTCCATTTTTTTTTTTGTTTATTAAAAACACAATCATAAGAGGTTTTCTTCTCTCGTTCGCTGCCGAAAAGACGCCGTTATTCGAGATAACTTTGAATGAACAATAAAAAAAAAAAAAACCAAAAAAAAAAAATTTTAAAGAAAAAATTGATTAATTAATTTTTAGTTTTTTTCTTTCTGTCGAGGGCTTTGTTTTTTTCTCTTTCTTTTTTTCTACAATAATTTTCATATGTGTGTTTGTTTGCATAGACATTAATATGTTATTAAGTTATGCTTTTTGCGATTAAAAAACTATTAAATATTTCGCATAAATTATTAAGAAAAAAAAAAAAAAAAACAAAAAAATAAATTTCAAACAAGACTTGATTTATGTGATAACTTGTGATGTTTAAGTTGCAGCTGTTTTAAGTTTTTTTTATTTTCTTTGATTTTTTTTTTTTTTTTTTTTTTTTTTTTTGTTATGTCTCTTACATGCTTTATAAATATATTGATGTTTTTTGTTTTTTAGCAACTGCTTACCAAAATATAGGCAGTTTATAGCACATTTAGAAGGGAAAAAAAAAAAAAAACTAGCACAACAATTTCAAGGCGTTGAGTGGTAGTAATGGTCGATTTCTTTGAAAAAATGTATGTTCAGAGACTAAGCAAAAAAAAACAGCAAAAAAACAAGAAGAAGAAGAATCAGAAGTAAATAACACGAACACGAAACACTTTTTAATTCAGTTAACAAAAATTTAAAAAAAAAAGAAAAAAAAACGGAAAAAAAAAGAAACTGATTTATATACGTAAATAATAAAATTTAAGTTACATTTACTTTACTTATTCACTTACTTATTGGATTTTAGTTGCTTGTAAGCAAAGCAAAGCAATCAGTAGCATACCAAGTTATTCGTACACATACACGAGCAACTGTTTGTTTATAGGCAAATAAATAATTACTTGTATGCTGAGGAACGCGTGAATGCAAATTTTCTTGCTCACACAGACGCTTAAAAGCTTATTGCTAACAAACACTTGCTAATATCTTACTTATTTAAACACTCTCAAACGCATACACAAACGCAAACGCAAAGGCAAACGACGACAACACACTCTGAAAACGTTTATTTAACTGACTACACGAACACACCAAACCGTAATTTCTGACGCGAACAAGTATTTCATCAATCAACTTTATTATTGAGTAGTAAGCAGTGTTAGCCGTGCTTCACTAGTTACAGTGGTAGTAGTAGTACTAGTACTAGTAATAGTATAATATTAGTAGCAATAGAAAATCAGTTGAAGAGAATAGAAAAAAAAAATAAATAAATAAATAAATAAATAGATAAACACGACACAGAATAAAATTTAATAAAAATACTTAAGAAATCTATATATTCCACGGTCCTTAAATATGTTTTCAGCTGTGTTTGTTGTTACTATTATTATTATTATTATTATTATTATTATTACTATTACTATTATTGTAGTCGTTGTTTTTGTTATTATTATAATTATTGCTTGCACAAGAATACAAAAAATATTGTATTTTTGCTTTTATTTATTTTTATTTATTTATTTTTTTATTTTTTTTTTTTCTTTCAAATGTGAACCGAAAATTATTTGCAAAAAGAAAAACACATTTTTCTATTTTATTGAATTGAATTTTGCGTTCGCGTTGGTTTAATTTAAGATTCACGCGTTCTAAATTTTGTTTGCTTTTTAATTATTTTTTTTTTGTTTCTTTTATGATTATTTTATATCAATTTCGTGTCAGTTTATAGAATTTTTGCGTGTGAATCGTTGCAGTGTTTTCAGTTAACTGAATTGTTTGCGACAACCGCAACTGATAGTGAACTCTACTGGTGTTGGTTTGAACGGCTGGCAAAACCAAACAATGAACCAACCAAGCAATCAACAATCAACCACAGCCAGGTTATGCAGAATTTTAAAGAAACCAACACAAATCGCTTTCAAGCATTTAACAAAAAGAAAAAAATACACCAACAATAACAATAAACCTGTATAAAAAAAAAAAAAATAAAAAATGAAGAAAAAAATCCAATAATAATAACAAGATTGGCAAGTAAACTTGGCTTACTGAGACGACTACACTAAAACAATAACGACAGCATTAAGTGCATGCACAAACGAATGCATTTGAGCATCAGCTCATTTATACAATCATAGGGGGGTAAATCACCCTACTCCTTCGTCATTTTAACTTTGCCTTTCACGCTATTCAAAAATACTACTAAGCTACAACTAAATTCTCGTAGAAGCGCATTCATATCTAAAAGTAAACTTCACTGCCTGACTGCGCCTGACCACCACACCACACTTGTTAAAGCTCATGCGTCCAGTTAATGTAACGTTTACTCTTTCTCTGTATCTCTCTCTGTCTCTCTTTTTCTCTTTCTCTGCCTCTGTCGCTCTCTTGTTTTCTCCGGCTAGTGAGCGGTTGTTTTATTGTTATTAAAATTTAGCAGTAGTCTTGCATCCCGAGTTATTATTCTAATTAAGTGAAATGAGTTTTAATTATGCAAATAAATTATTCGCATGGCTTTTTCTCCCTCGAAATAAGTGCAACTCGTAAGTGAAAGGATTGTGATGGCTATATTTAGACTGTGAATGAGATGATGAGTTTACAGCCAATCTGCAGTTAGCATAGAACCTGCAATATATATATTTCTACTTACGTGGCTTTTGAGCGAACACCATTTACTTACCACTCTTAGTACTTACTTGGATGAAGAATTGCACTTCAACTTTTCTGGCACACCTCCTCTTTCCACAGTTATCGATCATTTTCTTTTCTATATATTATATTCGTGGGCATTAGAATGAGTTCTGCTTTCGTTACTAGACGTTAGTCAGCTCAGGATATTATGCTCCAGAAATAGCAAGCATAAGAGCATTGTGAGCGAAAAACTTGCTGAAGAGAGTAAGAGCTAAAGGACTTCTTTCCAGACGGAAAGCTAAGGTATATCTTTCAGTATTCTTCTTAGAAGCTTCCAATCGAAGGGTTTCAATCCAACTTTCGAGTTTGGCGCGGCCTTGCGCCTGATGCGAGCTAATCGATTCCTTGCTGCCTGTCCTAACCAGTGCATGAGGCGGAGGAGCTTATTAATAGTCCCAAGTTTCGTAAGTTTCTATTTAAACAAAGCGGCTATAACAACACGATTGGCAAAAGGAATTTGTCTTACGAGGATGACTACTACTAAACCAAATGCTCTCCTTGCATGAAATACCAGATCCGCAACTAAATTTATCTGACTAACTTATCCTGACTTGACTTAAAATCAAATTAAAATCTTTTTACGGGTAGACATTGTAAAAGTGGCCAATGTCTTTGGTCTTTTTTCCTATTATGATAGAATGTAATGTTCTTCGTACTAAGCATGCGTTTGAAGTCTCTTCGAAAGTCTCTGATATCTCTTCAGATGGATTTTCTCAGATAATTCGGCATAAACTTCTTATTTATAGTAATATTTACTTTTGGATCTCTTATTAAGGCCAATATTCTTATAAGGTCAATATCATTCGCAATTACTTCGGATAATTGTGGGGAAATACAACACTTCTTATAAAAAAACCTGTAATCTTTAAGAAAAGTGCTTTTAAAAGGAAAAAAGTTTTAGTTAGTATTAAATTGGACGCTCCTATGCACATCAACTCTGGTAATCTTACTCTTTACAAATATCATCATCGGTTTATAACTTTTATTTTCATTAGATTAATTTTTTCTCTTTTCTCTTAAAATTTCGCATTTATACTCTTCTCATATAGAGTATATATATCTCCTCTCATATGAACACACTAGCAAACGAGTCTAATTTTCATTATCATCTGTGCTTATATATGTGTGCATAAGACTTACATAAATACGGACGTACACATAACGAGAATAGGATGGATATGCGGAGCAACATATTCGCATTGGTGTGTAATTGTTATTCACTGAGCTGTGTCAGCATAGAAATATTTTACATATTTTGGTTGTTCTTTTGTTTTCATTCATTCTTGCTTTTATTTTTATTCATTTTTTTTTTTTTTTTTTTATTCATTTTTCTAGTTAACAGGTTATTTTTTGATGTCAAAGATGCTGCTTAAGCTAAGAAGCCATATAAACATTTTTCTTATTACTGTTGTTATTATATTGTTGCTTTTAAAAAAGTCTGATAAATAATTTTCAGGTTTGTCACCATTACAGCAATAGCATAAATTATCTTGACTGTAAAAGTCGGGGAGAAACAAATCTTATAAACTCTTATTAACGCAATAAAAACCAAACGATGCTACCAAGCCTAAGCTTCTACACATATACGCGATTAACTTTGTTCTACACTTTTAATTATGCGATTTTTTTCTTCTTTATTATCGGAAATATTATAAATCGCAATTATACCGCCTGTTGATACTATTTGCATAAAATTTTATTAAGCATTCAGTTATGCGTTCTCCACATGAGAATTTATATTAAAAGAAGGAAAAATTTATTGCTTACTCTCTTGGGTTATAAGGTTTATCTAAAACTAAAATTGTTTTCCTTCTGAATCATCAGTCATCATCATGGTAAGATTACAAGAATTGTAACATAATACGTAATGTTGGTGCCTAATTGCCTGACTGCGGGAAATGTCTTCACTAAGAAATTTTATCTATGTAGAGAATGTATGTAAAAGAAGAGGTTAAGTAGTCCGATCATTAATTTTTCAATTCTTCAATGTTCCCTATTACGACAATGATTAAATGTCTTTACGATTTCAAATGTGTAGTTATTCTTAGAGATATGATTTCTTTTTTAAAAAACTAAAACAATGCGTATTTATTTGAGATCCTAAGCTGAGTAAGACGCATTATGCAATTGACAAAAAATTGAATATCTGCTTCATACAGCTATTTAATATACCATAAGTCAATATAAAGAAAGTCGCTCGTGTACAGATTGACTTTGCAGCTTCACCACAGCTGACGAACATAAGAAAACCTATCATAAGCACCTTCAAGTCGAAAATGGGATTGGCATTGCTATAAAAATATTTTTCGTCATCCTAGTTCGGACACTCTTTCAATATATAATATTCTCGCAGCTTTCGAAGTTGATGCACGCATGGAGAAACAAAAGACTTAAGAGACAAACTATCAAAACGATTAACAAGATAGACACATGCACTGTGGTATGGTATTCTACTACTAGTAATGGTCACAATGAAATTTTCTAATAATTAACTTTGCGGTAAAAACACGTTGTGATGTCCGACCATGCTTCACTTCTTCCCATTTTCGTGCTCCTTAAACCGCTAGGACAGGACCAAAGCAAAGTCGCCAAAACGTATTAAATTACGCGTAATCTTTTCAAAACTAAAAATAAATGAAACATTCAGACCCAGACTACTACTAATCCCTAAATGTGGAAAATATTGCTTCACGCAAACATAATTGACTAAAAGTAAACATTAGATCCCTTGTTCGACAGATAAGAGTAGCTACACATATTTGGCAACATGTAATAGACACACGAATGCAACAACAATGCAAAACTGAAATAAGGAGCTTTCTCGTTAAAATATTGTGAAAGTCTATCCAATCGCGCGTTCGCTTTATTCTCAATTTCAAACAAATACAGACTCAATTATTATCAATTGTAAACAAATTCAGACGCTTGCTCTCAGATGTTTGAAATTTTTTTGAATTACTGTCAAATGTTTCAAATTTTTTCATATTAACAGTTGCGTAATATAAACTGTTGAGATAACGGTGTGGTGTGTTGCCCTGTTAATCGGATGAGATTTTACATAAAGTAGTTAGCATACCGTTAGGCTAAATGTAATTTTTCGCAGAATGATTACAAAACATTTAAAATATTACACAAAATTTTTATTAATTTATTTATTTATTTTCTTTTTGTTGTATTTATTATAATTATTTGTATGTAAATTTTTTATGCCACATGAACATGTTATCGTTTGTAAGTATTATTGTTCTTAGTTATATGTAATATGAGAAATATAAAATTAATTCTCAATCAAAAGCATATTTAACAATTGTACGTTAATTAAATTAAATTAAAATAAGTATTTATCTATAAAATTAATTAACTAATATTTTTTTTTTGTTTTTTTGTTTCGCTTTATTTATAAAATCTTACGTCTTTTTTCAATCAAGTAAAATTTGAAAACTTCTTAAGTTAGCAAAAATATGTGATGCGTCAATGAATTAAAAATTAATTAATTAATTAATTAATTGATAATTACAACGATATGTAAGAACATGTTGGAAAATTAGAAAATTTGTATGTAGGGCTGATTGTATAGGTATGAATAGAAAAATATTTTATTTATTATTTTTAATTGTTTTAATATATTAATTCATTCTTTTAATAAAATAAATAAATATAAGTATTTTTAAATATTATTGAATAAATCTTCCAAGAGTTACTATTATTATTATTATTATTATTATTTAGTTTATAAATAAACTTTATAAGCAATAAATTTAAGAATTAAGGAATGAGTTACAAGTCAATGTTGGATTCTGTCGACGTTAAAGACATTAGCTAAGCCCAAGTAAAAAATTTTAAATCTATATATAAACTATACACTCAAAGTATTATTAAAGATTTATCCGAATTTATTCGGCAAAATTAAAAGTTATTAACGATTGTCGTTTGGACAGGGAGACGAATGTCTTCACCAATCACTAATACTTCTAATTATCCATCCACAGCAAACTTCTCAGTTTTATCGAGAAATTAACCTATAAATTATTGCACTTTTTTCTTTCATTTTCGTACCTACCAGTAAAGGATTTTTGCTATTTTATGCGAGCTAAAAAATATAGTCTCAGTATATAGCGTGTTCGACCTAAATGACTAATGACTAATCGTTGAGCAATTCATTGTAATTGTCAAAGCTGTAAAAACTATGTGACGAGTTTAGACCTGATAAACTTACGTATCACTCTCATAGTAAATTTAAAAAACATGTGACTCCCCTTGAATGCATAGATAATTGAAATAATTTCAAATGAACTGACGCATCAGTAGACTGTGTTACGACTTATGGCTGGCAGCAGGTAGCTGTTTTTCTGTTTAAATGCGGCTCAGAAGGGCAGTGTGTTTACCCTGTTTACTCCATGCAAATGTTGAAAGAATTAAGACAGAGCCATTATTTGTTTCACCGATCCGATTCAGAATCTGACTTGAGCTTATCCGTCCGTCCGTCTTTCCTCGTTTAGTCAATGCATTGTTAAGTGTGTGTAACAATTTTGGGTTTCGTATGTGGTCGCGGCTTCTCATAAACTTTAACAACATTTTGTACACGGGCATATATGGGAACATTTTTGAGCCCCCTCTCGTATAACGTTTACCACGACAACTAGACCTGAGAAAAGGGAGCGGCGAACAGATCTGATTTTCAATAGTTGATTTACGAAAATAGGCCCATAATAGGAATTTGCCGTAAGGACTGGCTGGATTCGCATGAAAATTAAGCCTTTATATGGCAACAAAGTTTAATTTATAATACCTTATAACGAAAATTTTCTGGAGTGTAGTAAAACCTTTAACCAGAAAAATAAATCCGCTAAATTTGAACCCTCTCACGTCTAAGGGCTTTCATGAAAGGTAAGCCTTCATAATAATTGTTGTATTATCACGAAATGAATGAATGAATAATCGTCTTAGGTAGTGTGGTGTAGGGTATTTAAAGTTCCACCTTATCCGACAATGATGTTTATATTGGTTGTTTGAAGTTACAGCACTTGTAGCTCGGCTTTCTTTCCAGCTACGATATTGTAGCTCTCACGAGAAAGACGAAGCCTACATCCTTCAACTAAGCAGTGGCCAATGGACTTTTCAGCAGCTGAATTAATCAAGAAATCTGTATTACTTAGTTGTTTGAATGATTGTCTTCCTAGACGGTTGACAGAATCTTCGTAAGATATGCCTTTCTTTTCGTCTATCTCGTTAAAAATTAAGATTGAGAATCGATCTGCGCCGACCGTGAAAACTCGAAGAAGAAAAATTTCGAATTCTTTTTTCAACAACTTACAGACTATAGCACATGTCAAGGACGTAAGGAGTCATTTGAAAAAAGCAATCATCTCTAGCGGCAAACTTCCCTTCTGTTGGTTGCATTCCTTCTAGTCGGAGAGGCCATTTCAACACAGACCTTTTAAATCTCGGCTCGGAAATAAGTCGTCAGTTGAAGGCTTTTTAAGACTTAAGATAAATATCTTCCTCTACGCACTTCTTCTATGCGCCTATGTTCACTATTTGCACACACCACATATGTTGCGCATAAATTCGCCAAGCTACCAAGCATACCGAAGAAAGTAATGTGTTAAACGTCTATGTAAACATCATGATAACAAACATTCTCTTTAAAAGTAATTTCTTAAGCTAAGAGAAAAAAAAAGAGAGCTAAACATTTTAACATCAACTAACTGGAACCTAATTAGCTTAGCGGTTGCTTTTGTATCTATCTTCGATTCGTTTTAATCCGTGCATGACATAGTCCAGAGATTCTTCTATTTGCCGCAATTTATTTTCGATAATTGGGTTACCCACAGGTTATCGTCTACAGAGTCCAAGTGTTGTAATGTAAATGAAAACTGTTTTTGTATAAAAATATTTGTTTGTTGTTGTTGTTCTTGTTGTTATTTTTTAAATGTATATAAAATACTTTGTTTATTTTATATGCATATATATACATATATATATATATATGCATGCATGTAAGTAATTGTTCATTGAATAGACGTCATATCGAATGTTAATTCTAATCGTTTTCATGAATAAATCTATGAAGTTTTCGTTTTGCTTTCTTTTTTCATTTATCTTGTATTTTCAAGCCCGTAGGATAGTTTCCATCCAAAAATTTTGTTGAATTTGTTGAGGGAAATTATTATCACACAAATGAAAGGAATTATCCTCTATTTTTTTTTATTTTTTTTATTTTTTTTTTTGTTCATTTAAAGATAAAGAATTTTTGTTTGTAAACATTATTAAATATCCTAAAACTTCCAATTATCGAATTTTCCGTGACGATAACTTGGTTTCCTGTTAAAAATAGAAAGAAAAACATCAAAGCAATTTTTAGTATATGCAATAAACATACGTGCAATATAAGAAACGGAAATATTTTCACAACGAGCGAGAAAGAAAGATAATGTGAAATTCTTCTACTCTGCTATAAACAAAAGGCAAAAAAAAAAGAAAAGAAAAACAAGAAAAACTCGCACATATCATCCACACATACGATAATTGATAAGTTAGGGAAAATAGATAATATTTTGCTTAGACGGATTATCTAAAAAACTTAAAATAGAAGATAAAAGTAAATTAAGTTTTGGGTAGAAGTTTCTTCCCAAGTGGGCCCTCACAAGCGCATGTAGTTAACCAGTTAACTGAACGCGACAAATATATAAGTTGTCACTCGTCCGTCCGTTCGTCCATTGTCGCTTGTTCATTAGTCACTTTGTCGTTTGGCGAAAAAAAAATTAACCCCATCATCCGTTCTTATTGGCTAATGAGTTTCTTTAATTCTTGCAAGAAGATTTCTTATACACAGAACCGTAAGATTTCCATTTTCCCAATTGAGAAATATCAAATTTTTTCTCCTTTCACTAACGACAATTATTACGTATTTAAGAAACCTAAACGTTCGCATATATGATCTTAGGCGTCAAGAGTTCAATATCTTACTCGTGGACATGAAATTTGTTTCTCTTCTGGCAAAAGATGAAAACTTGCAGCGGAGAAAAAGAGGAGCAAGGAGTAGTCAAATTTGTAGTGCGTTTTTGCGAGAAATACCAAATACAAACGAAGCACTTGAAGATGTGTACGAAAATATATATCAAGATTAGCATAGCTTTAGACGGCATTGGCAAGAAGTAAATATGAATTTTACTCTATTTAAGAAGTGACGCCTGGAGGCAGCAAGAACTACTTACTTTTCCAGTTCCCTCAGTTAAGCTAATATTGAATAATGTCATGAATTGTAATAGTTGATGCTAAAGGTGATTAATAGTGCCCTGAGTCTTAGGGCAAAGACAGACAAGTCATTCGCAATTAAAAGAAAGGTTAGCCTGACAACTATTTTCAATATTTTAATGAAAGATTAAAAAAATTTCGAAATCCGCGCGAGCTGGCTTCGAACCAAAAAGCCGCAGGGTGAATGCGAAAGTTCTATTTGCTTCCAAGTTTTGTAGATTAATAAAAATGAACCTGACTTCTGCAAGATGACTAGCTTTTGTCCTTAAAATCCAATGTTCCCAATCGTGATATCATCGCACAACGTAAAGGTCGTAATAGCGTTGGAAAATAAGAAAAGTCAAATGATTTAAGTTTCAATGCGTCGACATAAACACTTGTGTATATTTATAATAATTAAACTTTGTTACACAATATTTTCTTTATTTACTTTTTTTTTTCTTCTCTTTTTAATTATAAAAAAATGTACAGATGACGGATTAAACGTTATAATTTTAAAATAAATTTGTTGTTTAGGAAAAAAAATAAATCAATAATTAAATCGTTGTATAAAAATTGAATATTTTTAAATAATTATATATAAAATACAATAAAAGTTATAAACACTTAAGGTTTAGAATAAAAAAAAAAAAAAAAAATTGAAAAGAAAAGAAAAGAAAAGAAAAAAGCTAAAGGGTAAAATCAATCCTTAAATGAATATCATATTCATTCAACTTTTTGCTGGGGGACAAAAAATGTATAAAAAACTGGAAGAAGGGGAATGTTAAAGAAATTCACCGTTTGTTTGTTTCTTTTCTTTTTTTTTTTTTTTTCTTTTCGAACATAATCTATACTAGGTATGTTAGGTGTTAGCATAATACGAAAGAGGAATGTGTGTACAAATTATTCATCATATATGTGTAGAATGGCATGCAGTACTTTTGGTTTTTTTTTTTATTTTTATTATTTTTTTTTTTTAATTAAAATATTTCGGGAATAAGTTGGGCGGGAATTATGTCTTTATTGTGTTTATTATAATTATTATTACATACATACATTCATCCATTTTAAGCTTAATATAAGAGCTAAAGAAAACACAACACAAGCGATTAAATCCACGACCAATGTTTGATGATTGTTTGAATCAAATTGAAAAATCCTTACAGGTAGGTGTCTTAGCATGACAGTAAGTGTATAATAAATGGGTAGCGGTGATGGAGTTTCTTAATAGATGTACTTGCATATATATGGGATTTATTATGCAGGCTTTTTTTGTTCTCATAACATCGCATGTTCAATGGGTACATGTGCATACGTTCTTTCTTTAATTGTAGCAGAACATTACAAAGTTCCTAAAACTAAGGAAAGACGAACAAAGAATTCGAAATTCCTATGCTTGCATAGGAAATTCATTAGAAGACGTACCGTATGAACTTGTTAAAACAAAGAGAAGGTCAAAGCTTCCAAGATGCGCTTTGCAAAACTTTAAGAAACTCTTGCGGCACCGACCAGAAATGTATCCTTTAAGTAAATAATTATTTCGCTCATATGTCTATGCATTTTCTAAGCAGAGAAGGGAAAGCTTAGACGAGAAGGGTTTCAAATAATTCGTGATCTCTTCTTTCTCTCTCGTAACGATCGTAATTATATTTATAATCGTCGCAGGAATGAGTCTAATGCTTATTAAACTTAAGAGCGAAGGCACTGTGGACTGATCCCATTTCTCAGTCAACCAAGTGCATATATGGTTGTTTCGATACTTTTCAACTTTTTCTAGTACTCTTAATACTCTCTTCCCTCCTTCAATTAATATATGGGCATCTTTTTCAGTTTTCAAGGTTTGTCAATATTAAATTTTAATTTAAAAATAAATAAAAAATTGTTGAAGAAATTCTTATTCAAAAAACATTCAAATCATAATTTATTTTAAAATTCTTCAATAAATTCTAAACTTTTTTCACTTTTAACTTATTTTTATCTTTATCTTTACTTGTTGTCTCTTTCCACGACATACTGTGAAGTCTGTTTTTTTTAATAATAAAGACTTTCCTTCTTATCTTTACCATAAATGTAGATATAGAAAATAAACAATAGAAAAAAAAAAAAGAAAAGAAAAGAATTAGTAAGAAAATGTTTGAGCACACCCCCCAAGGGACAGTTGATTGATGTAAATGCTGCAAATCAACCATTGACTTTGAAGGGTTTCTCTTCTTTTTTATGATGTCCAACAAATTTCTATATCGTATCGACAGCCCTACAGCCCACTCATGTCGTGCATGCAATCAAAAAATTATATATCTTTATCTTTTCATTCACTCTCTCTCTCTCGCTCTCTCTCTCTCTCTCGCTCTCTCTCCCTTTCACACACTTTCTATTGCGATTGAAAAATTACTAGACTACTGAAAAACTACAAACGTTTTCGTCTTCAAACTTGAGTCACGCACTGTGCATATTTATCCAGTTCACTTCTTAGATTCTTGACGCGATCCGTCTCATCTCGCAATGAACGTACCAGCTCGTCGATGGTACGTTGCTGTGAGTATACTAGCGTTTCCAATTTGTCCACTCGCAATTCTAATTCAACTAAGCGAGCGTTGTCCGTTTTACTACCAATATTGTTCTCCAATTGATTGTGATGATGATGATGATGATGATGTTGATGTTGCTGAGGAGGATGAGGATGCAGATGTTGATGATTATTTATGACATTTGACGAATTAGTGTTGTTCGATTTTTGGGCCGTTGTTGCGATTGCGTTGGAAGATATTTCGGCGGGAGAGGCTGATGTATTGCTGCCACTATTGGTCGCGTTGGTTGATTTTAAATTATTTGAACGTTGACTGGAGGAGGCCAAGGATGGCGATAAGCTGCGATTGCGTAACGATAAACTGTTTGGCCTTGCTCGCACATCTTCTACCGTACTTGTAGTGGAATGTATTGAACTGTTGACTAAATTTGTAGACGCAATTGTTTCCGAAGTCAACTTGGCGCTTAAGCTTTTGGTCATGGCCTCCGTTGAAAGTTTGCTGGTGGTGGTGGTACTCGTACTATTACTACTTTCCATCACCATTGACTGTTGCATCTTCACAGAATTGCTAACAATGCAATTAGTATTGGTGGCGCTTGTCGTTACAATATTTGAACTAGAGTTACTTATTTTTAATTCTTCGCCAAATAGCTTAGAGGTTCTTTCGGCTACTGAACTGGTAGTACCACCGTTACCGGCGGCGGTACTTGTTGCTGCCTGACCTTCCACATTCGGTGAAGGAGTCTTCTTTCGAACTTGCGATGCCTTCAACTCCTCCATCCAAGGTGCCTTCTTGCGTTCCCATTCACGTGGTTTTGGTTTAGCTAATTGCTCTTCACTTGTGGAATTGTCATCAGATTTCAGTTGATCGTCGCTGTGATTCGCTTCGCTACCACTGCCACTACCATTTAAATATAACGTGTTGTTATTGCTCTCTCCCACGGAGTACATGGCCGCTGATGGTGGTCGACGTTTGGGCGCCTTCACGCGTCCAGCACGCATATCCGTTAAAATGGAACTGCGCTCCACATGATCGAATTCTGTATCTTCACCAGCTATAGTGGCTGCTCGACGTATAACAACATTACTATCATTTGAATTCGCTACCGAACTACTGGGTGATAGTTTGCTACTAGACAAACCATCAGCAGCGTCGTGAGACACCGCCGTAGTAAGCTTGTTTTCAACATTTTTTACCTTCTGCTTGAGACCCGAAAATATGTTGCCTTAGGAAAAGAGGACATTTTACATTACTTTTGTCTATATAGAAACAATTTTAACTTACCCGCAACACTTGAAACTGAATTTGATTTTTTATTAGGTATGGTGGGTTTTTTACTAAGTACTGGTGGCGGTGCGGTTTTCGTTTTGTCATCAACATTTTCGTTACTTTTGCGCAACTCACTTGAAGAGTTACTCATCGAGTTAGTTATGTTGTTTGCGAAACCGTTGCTGCCGCTGCTGCTGCTACTTCCGTTTTTAGTTTCTTGCTGTTGCTGTATATTTAACTGATGTTGCTGATGTTGCTGTTGTTGCTTCTTTAAAGCCAAACGTGTTGCTGCGTCTGAAGCATTTGTTAAATCTAGATTTTTACTTTCCAATGACTTGCGTTGAGCCGCCACATTACCGCTAGGCAGACCCGTTTCAGAAAGTATATCGTTTAACGAATCACGTGAGCCAAAACTATCTTTTCGATTCGAACTATGCGTTGAAGATGTACTGCCCGATTTTTTTATTAAAGATTTAGTAGAAGCACCAACACTATTAACAATGTTATTAGCGGTGGACATGGAGGATGCGCTTAAGTTTGAGGCAGTTGCCGTTGCATTACTAACAATATTGTTCGTAATGTTTGTCGATTTGGCAGTTCTATGGGATTGCTGCGGTTGTGCCTGATGCTGATGATTGCTGTCGTTTAACGGCGAAACTGTAAAATATTTAATCAATAAATATTTTAATTTATTTCGAATACCAAATTAAAATAAAATAAACAAGGCATTCAACTAACACAACGAACTCTAAGTTCTTCAAAAAGCAATAAATAATGATTTTTTTCTTTGTTTTTTTTTTTTTTTTTATTTACGAAGGGAACTTAATTTAGTTAATCTAAATAAATATTTAGTACAATATTAGGATTTTATTATGGTGAGCGTAGTTCATTGTCTTCCATTTTGGTGTAATTTATTTATTTAATTACATTAAATTTAATTTAAATGCAAGCAACGTTCGGTAACTACGTTTCATTTTCATACATATTAACACTAACGATATTTTTTCAAACTTGTGAATCACCCATATGTGCTTGGCTTACTTACTATTGACTATGACAGTAATAATCGAAAAGTAAACAGGTTTTCAAAACAAAGAAAAATTTTATATAACAATCATAAAAAATTACAAAATTAAAAAAAATATTTGTTTCTAAATATTATTTAAAAATACCTTTAACCCATTCTCGCAAGAAGAAGGCGATTTCAATTTCTAATTTCGTGGATAATACGCGAACGCATATCACTTCGAAGATTTTTAAAGGCTGGCCCTCTGGTTTCCCTCCCTCCCTAAAGGGATATATTATGTGCCACCATTTCTTTCACAGATTGATACGTCTATCTTACTTAACGACAAATTATTGAAAAGGAATCCTTCAAAAGGAATCCGAAAATTAGTTGAAAATCTCAAGGAATGTAAGTGTATTCTTATTAGCCTAAAATTCTGAATAGACTAACCGATTGGATCAATTTCAACTGGGATGGAACTCACGTTCCTAGATCCTGCAGGAAAAGCTCAAAGTTTTATTACAATTGCCACAATTTGTAATCCACAAAAAACATGGCTTTCAATTCCCCAATTAGAAGGCCATGTCTTCCGATGCTTTTCGCCGTCTCCTACCTAACGTGATAAGTAGCGTGATGGGTAACTAAGATTAAACTTAAGCAAATATATGTGTATTAGATTTCTCAACAGTTTGCAACGCCTAGATAAAGATAAATCGGAGGATGAGTGTATATAGTGTTACACATTATGTATGTATGTATGATTTACAGATTTTATTGGGCAAAGCACTACTAATCATGTCATGGAACACATTATCACAGCTAATAAGACTTGCATACGATGCGGACACCGATGTATGGATCGCACGTGTTGTACAAAAAGTGAGCCGAGGTCGAGAAAACCACGCTAGGGTCACTCAGAAATCAAGGTGATACGTTGAACAGGGTATTTCGATTATCGTGACGTTGTGAATGCTTGTCGCCGTTCAAAAGATTAGTTGCGAAATTTCGTGTCAGGGAAAAAATCCGCCAAAATTCAGAGCAGAATAAAACTCAATAAACAAGTGGGCTTGCGCCGCAGATCTATCTCTTGTGTGAAATTTTCAATTTGTTCATTTAAAGGAAAATTTTATATGAAAAGTTGCCTTCCATTTTATTCATAAATGTTCATATATCGGCAAATGGTTAATATTCGCTTTAAAAGAAATTCGCTATCGAGTTCACTTCAAAGCAAAATACAAAGCACAATACATTTAAAAAAAGTTAATTCAACATGACTTAAATAAGACAAACAATAGGTAAAAGCTTAACGGCTATTATGATGTAATACCAGCATAATAGGAAACTATTACTGTACGAAGTGGTTATGGTTATTGGCAAAGGGGAACAACTCTAACCGAAAATCAAGTACCTTAATTTTACTATGACAGAGAAAGAGTGAGAAAGGGAGGAACATAAATACATTTGAAGAACATCGAATTGTTTCTATAGTCAACAGTCAGATTTCTAATCAAAGCGATGTGAAAAGGTTGAGAGAGCTCGAGAATCTGGAAAATTTGGTTACAGCAGTCGGTGCGAGGGACATCTGTAAGCTGTATTGTGCTGTTGCTGTGGGCAAGTTCCATACTGTATTGCATTCAGGGATATACCGACATTTTTCCATGATTAAGTTTCAAGCCTAATATGTCCGGTAGATGCACTACCTTTGTGGACGAGCATTAGCCGGACAGCGTATATAGTCTTTTTCTCATTTGATTCAATCTGTCTGAAAATCGATAACATATCGAAAATTGGATCGTAAACGCTATGCTCTCTCCTTTATTGAATTCTACGTGACTCGCCCCTAATTATATATCTAGATTCTAGTCTCATAGCTTACAATCTCATACGGACTTGAAATTAAGGAGAAACTGTTGCCAGTAGCCATGCCCGACATCCACAATAGCGTGCATATTTTCCATCTGTTGCTGGATGCTTAAAACTCACAACGGAACAAATACATTTTTGTATGTATTTCTACTCGTAATCTTTGCACTAACGAACTTGAACGAAAAGTCGTTATCAGCCACTATCTGGTAGCAAATGTATTCCATTTCACTTAATGAACGAAAATGAGGGTGAATTACACCTGTTTACTGCTTACTTAAAAACAAAATTGATTGCCTCGACATAGGCAGTTGAAGGTACATAAGGAAGAGTCTTATATAAGAACAATCAACAACGTATTCATTACAAGTTAATTATATTTCTCAGCACTCGCTTGAAATTTACGTGCATCACCTAACTGAACCAAATGTATGACAATTGTTTAGGCGCATTTTGTTAATTAGCTTTCACTTGACATTTTTTTTATTCGTTGGACTTGTTGATGATGGTCTCTCTCCCTTCAGTCGAAAGACTTGGTTTTGCTCAATACCTGTGGCAGAGCAAACTTTTGTACGACGGCAGAAATCTGAAAGCGGATCTTAGTGATATAATAAAGTTTTCAGATCTCCTTTGCGGAGAGAAATTTCTATACGCATAACCCAAAGAGCTCTCAAAAACATATATACATAGAGTGTATATATTCTCTATCTGTCCCCCCTTGTGGATGTATGTTGCGTTCATTAAAACCTCGGCTTTACAGTTAAGGCCAGTATTGAAAATGAGCCAAGTCGATCAACGAACTCACCTACAGTGCAGCACGAATCTCTGTCATTACTCATAAGCCGCCATACATACAACAATAAACATTCCCACTAGTACTCTCTAGGTACTTGCATATAAGTGGACACACCCATCACGCGTTCGCAACCATCTAGTGCTTCCAAAATGCATATTTTTCCTTTTTTAAAAACAAAAGTAAACGTACTACAGATGCGACCATAGTTGAATATAATTTTCATGTGTGTGTTTGTTACGTCTTTCGCGTTTTCATTCCGCATAAAACACCCAACCATTTTCTTCAATTCTGGTGGTTGTGACTTTAAAGGGTCCCGAAAATATTACAAAAAGGACTAAAGCTGTTGCTAAAGTCCTTTGGGGCGTCTTTCAGGGCAATGATTAAAATTAACAACAGCAGCGAAGTTGTTCGCACCTCAATACCTGAGATGTAAATTCTCCTCGACCTGGTTTATTAAATCGTTCCCGGATGGTTTGGTTTTCTTTTCACTATTCTATGCTGCAATAGCTGGCACCTTGCAAGCACTATTTCTTGCCATTATACAAAGAACATTCCTCGCAATAGATAGCGTATTTTGCTTCGAAAAAAGAAAGTATTAGCAAAGATAGCAAGTGAAAGAAGAACACGACTTCAGTCTTAACGTTTTTCGATTCAAGTTATCATTAAACTCTATTCAGTTTCACTAACCGAGATAATGGAAAATTTGTTGCTTTTCTGTTTCAGAGATTTTCGTCAAATATCTAGATATACCTTTCGTTTGTTTTTGTTGTTATGTTAACACTTATGCCAGGAAAACGTTACTAAATAAACATAGAAAACGAACGGACGAACTCACACTAACTTTCAAAATACTCAAGACGTTGACAGGTTGTAACAAAGTGAGTGAAAAAATTCTTCTTGCTGTTGTTCTTCTTTGTTTTTGTTATTATTATTTAAATTCATAAAAATTTTAAATTTAAATTAAATTTTTTATTTTTTTACCTTTATACAAAAAAAAAAATTTTGCTTTTTTCTTTTTTAATGCAAAACCGGTAAGCAAGTTGAGTAAGTTTTATTATTAACTGTTATAACATAATCAAAAGACTTGAAATACAAACTTGACACATTAGTAAGTAGAAAATGAAAAAAAAAAAAAAAAATTGAAATCATAACAGCTTTTTTTTTATTTATTTAAAAAATTAGTTGACATTGCACTCGTCAAGCATTTTAAACCAAACTCACTTGACACAAGTCTAACGGATTTCCGCGAAAATTACTCTTAAACACATATTTTTAGCCACTGAAGAAATCATTTGAAAAATGTTTTAATGAATTTTCTTTAACTGAACTTTTTCTTTTTGTTTTAATGAAACACTTGTCTATTTTCTTCTATTTTCATTTCCTGCCACGATGATAATCAACGCATGTTTGCAGCAGACGCACAACATTTTTTGTAAGTAAATTGATAGCATTTTATTCAACGATAGATTACACTAACCTCGGGTTAAGTAGGAAGCCTTAAATACAGTTACGTATGTATGTGTTTGTCTTCTTTTGGAAAAATGCTAAACAAAACCTTTCACTAAAATGAAATCGAAAAAAAAAAAAAAAAGACGAAGAAAAGCAAACTCCTACACAAACCGCGGACTTACAATGTATAGCAGAGTTTATTAACTAAACGCAATTGTTCACTCAAATATTTTAAATAACTCGCTACTAGTCAGAGATATAAATAGAAAATAAATGTGAAAACAAACAAACAAAAGAAACAAAAAGAATAAATAAATAAATAAATTACACGAGGGCAATACAAGAAATTTATCAAATGAAAAAGAAAGTTAAAAACTATCGCATTACACAATACAATCACAACCGACTTTTGCTAGCAACTTTCCTTCGCCATAAAGTTGAACTATTGCAAATAATTTGGTACCTAGCCCACGTCACTTTACGTCTTGCGATAGCCTCAATAACTGCCTCAATAACTTATATAAACTCATAAGTAAGGGGCCT